ATCTTGTTTAATTTCTGTCATATTGTTCATTTTTAGTCACTCTGATGTCTTTTTCAAATCTGCTTTTCTCTCCAGCTTTGTGCTACCATATCCAAGATCTGTGTTTCTCCCCTGCTCCCTTTGTATTTCGTTTTAACTGTTCATCCCTTTTCTGTGGTGCTCCTGTCTTTAATATGAACTGAAGAGGTTGAATCAAAGCTGTTTGGGGAGGGAGACAGTGTTTTAAAATGTGCAGGGTGAGAATCTCTGGGTAGAAAGTAACACTTCCTGCAGTTATAATCAATGCACTTGACACTTTCAAAGGCAGGAGAAGCCATGACTTGTTCAGGGGTTAAACTTTTAAAATAACCTCCCCAAGGAAAGATACTGTCAATAAAACATAATAATTAGTTGAAGATTCTTCAGTAGCCTTGGTTAAAAATGAAAAGAGTAAAGATGTGTTTTTATTTATCCACTTTACCTTTCTTTTGTTAAACTTCAATCTTTTTGTTTAAATTCCATGTGACTGGTCAGAATTAATCTTTTTTTTTTTTTACTGCTTTCTAAAATGATAGAAATTAGATTTTTGCTGTATGAAAGCATTTTTAATAGTATAAAACTGTAAAATACCATAGTTATTCCTGTGATCAATAAAGCTTCCTCTGATCTTCTTTCAATATACAAGAAATGGTGAAAATTCAGCTGAATGAACATATAAAATATATACAAATTGATTCTTCAGCAGTGTTTGGCAAGCTTTACATTTCTAGATATAATGTACTGAATAAATGTAGTGTCTAACATTTAAAGACTTGTATTCAAGGAAAATAAGATGCTATCAGTTTATAGGAAATATAATTTAATATTGTATAATACTTTATTTTTAATAAATAATTTTTGAATGTCTGTTTATTTCTCTAAATATAGAGCATTCTGTTTGCTTCTTTTTTTTCTGCAAAACTAACAGTTTTCAAATCCCAGAAATAATTAAAATGCCTTCAAATGGTGTGTGGAAAATACTAAGTATTGATAAATAATGTATGAATTGGTTTTAGTATGAAATAAGTCTGCCCTTCATTAATTATTTATTTAATATTTGCACTTAAAGAAAATGTAAAGAAAAACTAAATTACTGCTGTAGTTTGGGACAGTCACTCAACATGGTTTTAGTGGGCATGTAAGTTAAATATTTCATAAATATAACATTAATTGTTTTTCCTGCATAGCACTTTCAAATATTTCCTGAATAGTTGAGTTCAGTTTGTACACATGGATTTGCTGCATACCTATTATTTATATCTGTTAATAGCACAGCATTGCAGTTTGATTTGTACAGATAACAAATAGAATTCTGCCTGTATTTGATTTGTAAAACTTAACTAAATATTTTACTTATTAAGCAGGAAAACAGGAATATAACCATTCCATTTTAATTATAAGTATTTTATTGTTCAGTGTGGCTCTTAAAATTATTCCAGGCACTAATTCTGAAAAACTAAAATATTCTGTTGAGTGGACAACAGGACCTGAATGGGCATATGAAAGGTACAGAACAACTTCCAATTTTTGTAATGTGTCAACATGTTTACTACATTTCTAGAGGTAGGTAGAAGGGCTGTGTTCTGCCTTTTGCATTCAGTTTCATAGTGTCTTGCAGTAAGTGTATGTTGTGAGTAGACTACCTTTAGAAAGCAGAAGTATCTCATACTACTTACCCTAAAAAGATGCACTCTACATTTCAGAGGTATAAAAGTCAGTTAATGCACTTTTGTGCCAGATACGGCTAAAATCCCAAGTACACTCATCTCTCCACATTTCACTGGGGTTAGGGGGACTGGACCCCCTTGAATGTGAGAAAACCGTAAATAACAAAAACACTATGTTTTTACCAGAGAACACATCTCTAAGAATCTCTAGGTTCTTCAGTGCAACTCTGTGGTCAACATCTGCCAGACACTGACCATAGAATTGTGCTGGAGGAGCTCAAATGCCTAGTGGCGTGTTCTCTTTAGGAATCTCTAGGTCCATCAGCGCAACTTTTAGTGAAAGTTGACCATAGAGTTCCACTGGAAGATCTAGATATTCCTAGAGAGAACATATTAATAAAATTCCTTGAATAATCAAATCCGCCAAAGCCACAAATATGGAGGAACAAGTGTACCACACAGCTAGATCTGTATTCTCACAAGTTATTTCAGTTTAGATGAATCTTGAAACCAGTTCTGATATTTTTATTCTTTTTCAAAGAAATGTAATGAGTAAAAATAACTGTATAGTATTTTTTAAAAAATACATTTTTATTGGTTTTTAAAAGTATAGATATAAAAAAGAGAAAAGATAAATAAGAAAGAAGCCATAGGATATGAACTTGAGTCAGGCATATTCATTAGTATAAACTAACGATTATGTTCCAAATGAATATGTAAACAATATATAACCAAATGAAAGACAAATGGAATGAAGAACAATATGAAGATGAAACCCAAATTCTAAAAAGCGAGGTGGAAGCTGCAATAAGGGAAAGGGCAAAAAACATATCACCAGGAACAGATGATATTCCAATGGAACTGCTTCAAACCATGTTAACAGAGTCAGCTTTAGTGTTAACTAACATATGTCAACATATATGGAAAACAAAAGGATGGCCAATAGATTGGAAATGATCAATATACATCTCCATCCACAAAAAAGGAGACACAAAAGACTACAGCAACTGTAGGGCCATAGCACTAATCTCCCACGCAAGCAAAATTATGTTCAAATGTCTGCAACATTGACTCCAACCATATGTGCAGAGAGAAATTCCAGAGGTGCAGGAGGGTTTCTGGAAAGGAAGAGGCACTAGGGATCACATTGCAAACATACAATGAATAACAGAGCGTACCAGGGAATTCCAAAAGAAAATCAGTGTGTGCTTTATAGACTATAGCAAAGCTTTTGACTGTGTAGATCATGAAAGGCTATGCAATGCCTTTCATGACATGGAAGACATGGAAGTGCCAATACATCTGATAGTCCTGATGAGGAATCTGTACTCAGGACAAGAGGCTACTGTCAGAACAGAACACAGAGAAACAGAATGGTTCCCAGCTGGCAAAAGGGTCAGCTGGATCTTATTACCCTACCTGTTCAACTTATATGGAGAACCTATTATAAGAAAATCAGGCTTGAACATAGAAGAATGAGGAGGGAACATAGGAAGAAGGAATATCAGCATACTAAAATACTTAGAAGGCACAATAATATCAGAAAATTTCACAGACCTGAAACAATTACTATGGAATATCAAGGAAGAAAGTGTAAAGGTAGGCTTACTGTTGAACATAAAACAAAAACAAAAATAATGACCAGAGAGAATCTACATAAATTAAACGTAGACAATGTACATAAATTAAACCTGGACAATGAAAAAACAGAAATAGTAAAACAGTTCTCATAACTGGGATCAAAAATTGATAGGAATGGGGACTCCAGCCAGGCAATCAGAAGATGATTAAGAATGGACAGAGCAGCAATTAAAAAAAAAAAAAAATAGAAAAGTTCCTAAAATGCAAAGATATACAAGTGAGCACAAAAGTTAGAATCATACAAGTCATTGTATTCCCTGTTACCATGTATTGATGTGAGAGCTGGACAGTTAAGAAAGTAGATAGGAAGAAAATCAATTCATTCGAGATGTGGTGCTGGAGAAGAGTATTGATGATTCCGTAGACAGCCAAAAAGACAAATGGGTCCTAGATCAGATCAAGCCAGAAATCTCTCTGGAAGCCAAGATGGCAAAACTGAAGCTGTTGAACTTTGAACACATCATGAGAAGGAACGACTCTTAAAAAAAAAAAAAAACAATAATACTAGGAAAGGTGGAAAGAAGTGGAAAGAGAAGAGAGCTGCATGATAGATGGATAGACTCTATTAAGAAGGTCATGGGTATGACTTTGCAGGTACTAAGCAGAACAGTGGAAGATGGGGAGTCTTGGAAATGTCTCATCCATAGGGTCTCCATGGGTTGAGATCTATTCGAAGTTAGCAGTTAGCAACAACAACAAAAAACATATGTTCAAAATACATATTCTTGAAGCTGATGTCTATAAAGCACCCATTCATGCATAACTAAAACACTAAGATCTTCTAACCATTACATGATAGATGAAGTTTATATTTCCAGCCTTGGAGTATAAATGGTTTAGCAACAATAAAAGCCAGCAGAATCCAGTCATATTGACTATCAGTTAAATTACACATTGCAGGAATATAATTTAAAAGCACATCTGCATCTACAGATGCCAGTGTTTTTTTCTAATGCAAAATTAATGTGTTGTAATACATCTAACAAGAAAGAGGTAACCACTGAGCACATTCACATCATATGTCACAATAAAGGAATATCTGTACTGTTACGTGCTTTCAAGTTGTTTCCAACTTACAGTGACCTTAAGGAGATTATGTCATGATTTTTCTTGGTAAGATTTGTTTAGAGTGGGTTTGCCTTTGCATTCGTCTGAGAACTGATAATGTGTGACTTGCCCAAAGTCACCCAGTGAGTTTCTACAGCTAGTGGGAATCTGAATCCTGGTTTCTCAGTTCTAGTCCAACCCTCAATCTCCTACACCATGCTTACTCAAAATTTTGAAGTATAAATTTCTTCCTAAAAAGATGCAATTTTTGTTAAGACATTTAGGGTGTAAGTTTTGATTATTGCAGGCATATCTCAGTTAAGAAAGCCCCTGACAAAAGATGCCCTTTTTAACAAAGTTTTTATGTCCCTAGCCACACTAATTTGTTCCTGTCCTCTATATAACTGGAAATTTGTAGAGCATCAGGAAGATGGTGAAGGAGGACTGGAGAAACACAAACATTTGATGTTGGGTTGCAGCAGCTTGTCTTCAGTAATCAGTACAGTAAACATTGAATTGAGAAAGCATGCAATTCTACTCTAGCCAATTCTACTGTAGCTGTGTGTGCCTGCCTACAACAGGCAAGGTAAACAACCACTGCCTAGAAATGGGCATATTAGCCTCAGGAGCTAGTGTGGCATAATGATTTAAGCATTGGACTACAGCTCTGGAGATGAGAGTTCAAATCTCTTCTTGGCTATAGAAATCCCCTGGGTGACCTTGAACAAGTCACACAAGTGGTAAGTTAGCCTTAGGGTCCCTATAAGTCAGAAACAAGTTGAAGGCACACAACAATAATATTAGCTCCCTCTTCAGCTACTCCCAGCACATTTCAGAAATTTAGATCTTTAAGTTTGGCCAAAATGGAAATCATAACCAGAGTGGAAGCTGGTAAAAGAAAATATCATTCTTCTAACCATTCCTCTGTTGATGGAATATCATCCTTTTTCCATCTCTCAGCCAATAATAGTCTAGCGGCTATTATCATATAA